TGAAAGTGTCCATAGCTAAAAAAATAAAGCTCTATGGCTCTGCAAGTCCACTATGAACACATAATAACATTTTTCTACTAGCAATTACATCTGCATAAAAATGTATCGGACTGTGGTTTGCCTATTAAGTTTGAAGTACGGACAAATTAAAGTACAGTAACTTTGAAAGTATGAATTGATCTAACCAGGGCTGTATTATTTGCAGGAAAATGAACTGAGATTACTGATGGCTCAGTGCACAGGAACAGCATTTGCTGTGATAGAAAAGTGTATACCATGGATTAACTCAGTCGTTTTTGTAGTGGCCTGTTTCTCATTTTACATGCTTGGCACTTTGATCCATACTGTAATGTAGGTACATATAATCCTGGGAAATTTGCTGCCCAAACTAAAGATTAAATAATTTAATCAGAGGTATTTTCACAGGGATTTTTCAAACTATTTTAATTATGTTTCATTGTTTACAGCCTGTGTCTTTCTGGGAATATTATATCTAGAGGCAATTTAAGAATACAACCTGCTTGTAAGTTCAGGTGTTTGAAAAGTTTGAAAGCAATCAAGAAATTGGTTAGTTGTTGTAATTTATAGTGCCAGAATAATTAATCTTAGAATGTATTTTTCTCCTGTTAAACATTTTACTCTTTTTATGAATTTCTGTCTTTATTTTTGCCATTCCTCTGCTAGTAAATATTTTTTCAAGTACTTTAAGAATAAATGATAGCTTTATTGTGTTTTTGGACAGATTTTGAGCTCTGCTATGTTTCTATAACTTCACAGAATATCCAAGGGCCTGAGAGGTGTTATTCCAGATTTACGTTTGTGTAATTCAGAATGAATCCATTATCCATTATCCATTTACATCTGCATTCAGAGATGATGCTGTAGTCATCCAGATCCCTAAAGTGGTGATCCAGTCCAGTTCTTTAGTACTGTTTTAACTGTTGTACTCGCAACTTTTATGAATTTCATATAGCTTAGACTGTGGGAAATAGGTATAAAGATAAAATGAGCTCTTAGAGATGAAAACCACTGATATTTTTTTACTAATTTCTAGATCTCTTATGTCATCAATGCTCTTTGGGAAAGTTCTGATTTACAAAATATGATCTCATAATGTGTTTTATCTTATTGGCTTTTTGCCACGTTGCCAGAATGTAGTGTATTCATATGGAAGCATCCAAAATGCATGCTTCAGCAGTGCGTGCATGCAGAGAAAGAGTACAAAGCTGTTTTTCATTTCTATAAACAGATCCTAGTTATACCTCCAAATGATTTTTTATTATTGGTTTTGTGGTTCTGATTTTGATTTTGTTTGTTTGTTTGTTTAGTTGGTTCACTGATTTTTTTTTAGTTGTTTATTGTATGCTTGCAGGAGAAGTCCCAAGTTTCAGAAGTTTCATCACTTTAATGCTTCTGAAAGGTTTACTGGAAACCATGAATGTCTGCTCACAAATGTAGCGCCTACGACACTTTCAGACACCTATTCAGGATAAATCCCTTAGAACACACTACATATTTTTCCACGCTTCCTCAGAAAGTACTACTCTAGAAAAGAAAAGATGGCCTGTTTGCTTCTATGATGATTTTCTAAAATTATCTCTCTATTTAAGAAAGGTCAACTTAAGAAACAGTATCTTGAAGAACAAGTTATCGCTAGCCCTTATAGAGAGATTTTTGGTTTTCAAACATTCATGTAGTTCATCTGAACTGTCAATTCCCCCAGCTCTAGTAATTTAAAATCCATATTTTCTGTGGAACTATTCAGTCACATACAAAATGTTATTAGCAGAAGGGGAAAAAAAAGGAAAAATGTGATCCTGATCAGAAATCAAAACTATATCAGTAAAAGGCAGGATCAAATATGAGCTGAACAGGGATTAAATTGCCAGTTTCAGTTGAGTTGAGACCGCTTTGAGACATTCAATTGAGACCGCTTTGAAGGATCTGGGTCTTTAGGAAAAGCTGTGAAGATCAGCTATTCAACAATTTCTGTTCTTTGACAGTATCTTATCTTAAGAACAAATACATTTTTCTCCTTTTCACCTTTTTTTCATCTAGCTATATCTTTACAATTATATATTAGTTATAGATGGATAGAGAAAATCTTTTTTTTTTTTTTTTTTTGGCAGGCGTTTACATCTTGGCCCTTTTCCTTCCCTTGACTTATTTGTTTCATTTTTTTAAAAATTCTGTTTCATTTTTTTTATCCTTCTGTTGAGGGAATGCAAATGCAATTGTACTCACTTATCAGATGGTTTTTCAAACCAATGATATTGGAATAGATAGAAATGAGAAAGTTGTAATCTTCAACTGCGATGCACTCCCACTTATTTCCATTCAGATATGAGAAGTTATGAAACAAGATCTTAATTACCAAGAACCAGACTAATCTCTAAAACTGGAGCTGGAATATTCAGTATAACTTCTTAGTAAGAAAAGAGAGTGTTCAAGGAAATAGCAAGCAGCATATAACAGCTTTGTATAAAGTATTATTTTTCAGAGATTATTGAACCCAGTTAGAATAGGGAAATTTAGAAACTGTATAGAGTCATGCCCTCCATAGATCGAATCGCTGTCTAGGTCAGGAGAGAGTTTAGATAAAGTTCACATCCAGATGCTTTGCCATCCATTGGTGAAGAAGCTGGTGCTAATTTGAGCATCTGATATGTAGCTGATAGTTCACTTGTTTCTAACTTTGTTAAGCAATGCCTTTTTAAAAATCTTTTTTTTAGGCTGGATTTTACTCTTCTGGCAACAGCTTTTATAGGACTAGTGTTGTTCTTGTTTTTGTATCATTTTTCAGTTTCCACCATAATACTTTCACACTTGTAGAGTTATTTCAGTTTTGCAGGCTTTAGTTAATAATCGTCAGTGACCTAGCCAAAGCATGAGAAGTGATATTCATTGGCAGGAGCATGGTATTTTACAAGTGCAAAGCTGGTACGCAGAAATATTAAACTGTTGGGAAGTTTAGTAACATACTTTTGGCATTCCTTCACATTCTTGTATAGGAGATGGATTACTATATGAAGTAGGTTAAATTCTCTGTCTACTCAGATAAATTCAGTGTGATTCTCCTGAGTAGAGTTAATTCGACGGTCTGCCTCTCTGTTTACTTGACTACAGCAGTGAAGTTGTTATGTATGTCGGATTGTGGCTTTTTGTTGTAATCAGACCACATCAGCAAAGAGTTATCTGGACCTATATGAAGCATAGCTGGTAGAGACTCAATTTGACAACTTGTGTTGTGTCAGTTTCTCTCACTTTCTTTTAGCAAACCATGTGGAAAAAAAATAAATAAGAATAAATAATCGTGACAGTTCCTCTCAGTTTTTATGGTGACCTCCTAATTTCTCAGAAGGTAATACGTGCTTAGTACTTAGGAAATATGAATGAAATATGAATGTCATGGACTACTTTGCTGACTGAGGAAACTTCAGTTATTTTTTCAATCAGAATATGTATATACCCTTACCTCCTGAACTGGACAAAGTGAATGATAAGTAATCACTTTTATCACCTTTCTGAAATAATTAACTTGTCTCCTCTCATACCAGAAAATACCAAACCATCAAACTAGAAAGCAGGCTTTGTGAATAGCCTTGCTGAATTCCTAGTTGTTTGCTCTGGCAGTTTCCAATGAAGCAGCTGGTTGTCTTTGGAAAGCTATGCCTGTTGTTTTGAGTTTGAACATCATGTGTCTTTAATTTTCAGCACTAGCCAGAGGGATAAGTATCACAAATATCTGCTTGTAGGCCTCTTGCCCTTGGGAACCAAATATATACTTGGCAGCCCCTCTGACTGTGGGACTGAAGAGAGAATCAAAGTTGACTCATTGCTTTATATCCTCTGAGGCAGAAGAAAGAATAAAAAGGGCAATTGCTGCTTCCTTCAGTTGCCTGAAGCAATTCTTTCCTAGTTTGTAAAAAATAAACTAATGCCATTTTCTAAAATGATTTGCCCCCTATTTGAACAGAATATTCCATCCAGTTCATATACCTAAGTCTGGGACTGTACTCTCCCTAGACTTCTGTTTCCCAGTGCAGTCTTGAATAGGGTTCAGACCCTACTTGAGTTACTCCAAGTTAAATGTAAATCAGAAATGGATATTTACATCTTTCACACAATATTCATCTCCAATAGAATCTTGTTCTTCAACTGAACAAAAACAAACTCTAACTGAAATCACAGAATTGTAGAGTCTGGAAGGGACCTCTAGAGATCATAGCATCCAGCACCCCTGCAAAGCAGGCCAGAACCCCTACAGCAGGCAAATTAGTTCATAGAATGCTATGTGCACTGTTGGGGGCACATCTCTGGAGTGACCTTATTTTTTCTTCCTAAGCTGTTAACATGTTTTTATCTCCTACTGCATGATTAAGGCCAAAACAAATGAAGACCAACCTATGACTTTTAGTGAAGCGATGTTTATTACCACGCCACTGGGCATGCCTTACAAATATTCCCAACTGTAGATGTGATGCTGAAATGAAACAGTGATGTTAGCAACATCACAATATATAGGGGAAGCCTGAGCCCCAATGTATGCATTAGGTAAAGATCAATCAGGATGCCAGATGATCTTTTATTCATTTTAGAAATGAATTCATTTAGAAATGATTCATTTTAGAAATGTTGCTAGGCAGAGCTCCAAGCTCGCACCAAGTGATGCCAAGACATTTGCTCATGCCTCCGTCATCCCTTATCTAAAGTGGTGTAACTGCCAGAAATAATTTGAAAAACTTCACACATTGCACATTTTGCACATTGCTCTTTTCTACATAAATATTGTTTGTGATTCCCACTTAAAAATAGAATCCAAGTCTTGTATTTGAGATCAGCAGAGGATCTGTCTTTAAGACAGTGCTTACATTTTTCTAGGAAAACTATTCTTATTTTATAATCAGCTCAGCTTAGCACAGAGGTCTTATGTAAGAAGCAGGCAGTTACCAACTGAGAAAGTCCAGCATTTTTTTCTTTCTTAGAATTCAGATTTATTATTAGTCCCTAAATTCAGTGCTTTGTTAGGGAGTATGCTTTTGAACTGTTAAGAGACTTGTTATACTACACAGATACAAAAAGAATTTTAGCTGAGGATAAGCTCTAAAAGATGAACGAATATATTAGCTTAGCATGAATCTGATCTTACCTTGTCTTGCAAATAAGTGATACAGAACCCACTGGAATTTGTTGTTGTCTCAATGCTGAAGAAGACAGGGCTCAAAATGATTCTAGTTATTCCTGGTTGAAAGGTAAATTGCTATGACTTTCTAGATGTTTTATTTTAAATATGCTTATATATTATCTGATTATATTTTAATATATTTATTTATTCACTCTGTCTAGCACCCAGAATATGGCATTGATTTACAAGGAATCCATACAACTTAAGGAGTATATTCAGGCATCCAACTGTGTAATTAGTGCTGTAAGTTCAGGATTTTTTTCTTTTTGACAAGTTAGATTATAAGTGATGATTCCATTAGTGTCTTTTATGTCTTCTATCTGTAATTTATTGTCTTGGAATGACAAAGGCTCTTAAAGCAGTGTAACTCACTTTGTATAGAAGAGCCAGAGAAAGGTGTGTTGCAATGCAAAGTCCATTTGTTTCTTATTCCTTACTCCTTCTTTTAGCCCTTATTTACCCACTCAAGGTCAGACTGGATCAGGCTTTGAGCAACCTGATATAGCTGTAGGTGTTCCTGTTCATCTCAGGGGAGTAAGACTAAATGGTCTTTAACCAGTTGATTCCAACTCAATCGATTCTATTATTCTGTAGGAACCATCCTGTATGGTTTTTCATATACATGGAAGGCACTGTGTACTTGAGCAAAGGCTGAAACAAGAAAAGCTAAGAAGAGTGAAATGCTAAGAGAAAAGAAGAGAAGAATTCAGGAGGATCTATAAAAAGTTTAAATTGGTAAAACATGTATGTGGGTGGGTAAAAAAGGGAATAAAGCGCAACTAAGCCATAGAAGCCTCAGCGGGACTCTGAACATTGTTCTGAACATTGTTCAGAATGCATTGCAGTTTGCTTTAAAGAAACATCAAGAATACCCACATCCTTAGAAAGGGGACTTTTTTGTAGTTTAGCATTTATTTTAACAAATGCATGAAGACAGACCTTTTCCAGACCACAGTGTCATTCTGCTGTGGTGTGGGGAATTTCTTGTAGGAATTTATGAAGGCAGAAAAAACTCTTCTGCAAAAGAGTTGAACTGTGCATCTTAAGCAAAGCTGAGCTGGAGGATGCTTTGCTACCCTTCACTAGAAAGGGCACTGGAGTACTTTTCCAGCCAGGGCAGGCAGCCAGCTCCTTGCTTCTCTGCCATGGTGGGCACAGCCTTTTGAGATGCTCAGGGAGGTCCCTGTGTGCACACTGATACCCAGAGGAGCATGAATAGGTGAGAGAGGATAGCTTTGCTGCTTCTCCTTCAAAGTGAGATGGAGGAGAAGGATGAGTGCCATTCACAGAAATGTATATTCTCAGCTACTGGAGCAGCATTTCTAATTGCCGTATAATGAGGACAGCTTAGGTTCGATGTCTCCATGCCACGAGTGACCCAGACATTTCTCTCTTCTTTCCTTTCCTGCCTCTGCTTGCCCTCCTATGTCCCTGCTGCTTCCTGCAGGTAAGCCTGAGTCACCACTGCTGAAAGCCACCTAGGCTGCTCCTTTAGAAAACCCTGAGGCTGACAGAAAAAAACACAAATGTGAGCTTCATTCAGCTCTGTAAATGTGACATGTTCTGTTGATTGAATCTATTTCTGCAGTCACCTCTGCAGATCCCATGTCCTGAGAGCACCCAGTCTAACTCAGGGGGCAAACCTGGAGCCAGATGGGGCTTTTGACAGACAGGCTTCTGATAAACTCTTATCGTAGTCCCAAGAACTCAGAGCTGTTAGGACCCAGTCCTGCCCCTTGTCAGGGAAGATTTCTCCCCCAAAGTGTCCTTATATATTCTGAATGTTCAGCTGACACTGTTGGAACAAGAGACTCCTTCTCTGGCAGATTAGTGTAATGTTGTGGCTGGGAAAGACATGAACAGCAATGATAATGGTGAAATTATGAAGACTAATGAGGAATTGAGCTGTTATCTATCTCATAAATACATATTCTAATGTACAAAAAAACCACAGTGTTGACTGGAAATACTGTAATCCTCAGGGAAATCAAATAAAAAGAAATTAGCCAGAAGTGTCACATATTTACATCTGGTTCACCTAAAGAAAATCTGACCATTTTTGAAATGGCTGCCAGCCAACATTTTAGGAATATTTGCATTGGGTTTCTGCTCATACAAAATGTTTTATGTCAAAGTACCCTCTGGTTCTCACATTACAATAATTATATTGATTGTTTGTTTACCATTTTATATGAACATTTCTGCCTGTCACATAATATATCCTGAACCATAGTATAGTGTCCTTTATAGGCACATGCTGCATTGATACATGCATTGTATGTAAGTTTTTAGAGGTGAAAAGAGAAATAGGATCATATCCTCATCTTGTTGATCAAGAAAATAAGTTTTCAAGAAATTATTCTGATGTGTGAGAAGGGAAGTCAGAATTAGGTCAGGATACATAGACCCAGTGCCTTTTTTTTTCCATAGGGAGAGATAACATACTTTCTCAGGAGAGAGGTGTACCCAGATCTGCATGTTCCCTAGGATGCGTGAGGCAATCACTCTGCAAAGGAAGCACAGTTGGGCCCAGCTGTGGTGCAAGAGGTCATCTGCATGTGACAGCGCATAAAGAACATGCTGCGAGTGTTCAGACTTTGCTACATGATGTTGTGGGGGAGATTCAGTTCATATACTTAAGCTGAAAAATCTGTCTGCACAACAGGCTGCTTGCTTTGCACATTTAAGACCCACATTCATGCTAGTTGATTGTACTTCCTTCAGGTGGTTTGGCGTGGAGCACAGAGGAAAGGGAAAACATTCAAAAGACTAATGGTGGAAAAGAGAGTAGATAGTAAAACAAACAACAAAAAAAAAACAACCTGTAGGTTTACCCTGCAATCAAAATTCAAGAATATGCAGTTTATATCAATATCAATATGACAAGCTGTCTTTTTCAGTAACACTGTGTTTTTTTTGTATAAATAGTAAACTCCAATGGATATTTCAGTGTTTTTCTCACATGAGAAGCTGAAAATGTCCATCATCATTATGATAAAACAAAGTAATAATATATGTGGATTGTCTGTTGTTTTACTTTCCTCCTTGTGGATACATAAGACAAGACAGATAAAAGAAGAAAAATCACAGTGAAAAAAAAACAACTTACAGTATGCAAAGGTTTGTGTTTTTGTTGTTAGTCTTTGTGTTTGTTTTTTGTTTTCCAGAAAGTACCTTTGCTTTAAGTGTAGGTATGATCCTTTTCAAAATACATCAGATAAATCAGAACTGAAAAGTGATATTATTTTCTTATTTAGCTGGGACTTACAGATTCATAGACACTGAGCCAACAATGTGTTATGATCACTGTCTCACGTGACTCACCTCACCAGGAGCTTGGCTGGTAGGAGCAGGAGCTCTACCCCAGTCCTGCTCTGCAGAAGGTGAAAATGCCTGGTGTCAGCCCTTCAGGCTGCCTCTAGACACTGTGGGCATCTGTGCTGGCTGTTGCACAACATGGTTTGTAGCAGGGCACATGGCCTGGCCACAACTGCCAACTCAGTGGTGATACTTGATCACTTGGAGTTACATGGGGAAGCCTTCATGGTGTAACTGCAGCATCTGTCACAAGTGCACATATACTGAGATAGGGAATCTGAGTCTTTGTTTTGCAAGAACCCACTGTCAGGCAATTCTTTGTGTTGTAGTTCTTTATAGAAGAGATTCTTTTCATGCTTTGCTGTGCCTCACACTACATTTCACTTTGCATGGTTGCATGGATTTGCTACCAGTAGCTACGATTACACAATCATGTAGCAAAAAGCGTTAAGGATGCTCCAGAAAGACTGTGAAAAACATGACAGGAGTTTGTGATACCTGCTTTATTCTCTGGATGATGGTACTTTGCTGAAATTTTACTTTGGTGAAATTCCCAAAATTTCAACAGGAAGAATAAGTGATTCTGAAAGGATCCCTCAGGAGCCAGCCTATTTGTTTAAGAGGGCTGTTGACTGAGCCCTTCTATTGTTAAGTCTGATGAAGTTTATCTTTTGTTCCCTTCTATTTAGCATCCCCTGCTTTCTTGAAGACAATGTACCGTATCATGGTGGGGAAAAAAAAGAAGAAAAAAAGCAGATTTCTCTGGACAGCAATCATCCTTCAGCTTCTGTAAGTATTTTTGCTTTTGAAAAATTACTACATACTTGGAAAAAACACTATTCTACTGCAGGAAGATATTCTCACTGATAAAGTAAGACCCCTGAAAAACAGGGATCTTGTCCAATTTGTGACATAGATTAGAGCTAAGGAGCTAGCACCATCAAGGAGCAAACCAGCTAGCTAGTGAAACACTGTAGGCCTGTGTATCAGCATTAATTTTAATGACACAACCTATTAACTTTTTGAAGGCACAGAGAATATTAGAAGTAGAAAGCACAGAAACTTTAGATAGAGGGAAATAGCTTTCACATTTTGATAAGCTACAAAAAAATGTCTATTCCAAGCAGAGGTGTTTTGCATTATTCCATTCCTGTTGGCTCTCTGGGGGGTTTCATTAGATGTAGGAACTTCTTGCCATAGTAGTATAGGTCAGGCATTATTGTGGCTCTTTATGATACTGACTAGTGCAAGTCATGTATACAAACCTAGGAAGTATTTATTTATGTGGAATACCTACTAAAGTGGGCTACAAATCATTTAAAGATGCCTATGATATGAATCATACCACAATTTCACGGATAAGTGGAAACATTATGCAACTTATTGAGTTTTTAAAACGCTAACGAATGTGAACTACCCAGCAGACTTGAGCTGGACCTTTTCACCCCTCCTAATATATGCTGTGGGTATTTAATATTCCTCACTAGGGAGTAATGCTGGCATACAAGTCAGCAATATATTAGACTCTGGAGCCATGAACCTAGTGAGAACACAAACTAAACTGATTTTCAATTTTGGTACATTACAAAAAGGGCTATTATTGTGGGGTTAGAGATGTCAAAGTTGGTGACCTGGTATAATGAAGTATTCCCTGCTACATAGTCAAGCATGAAAAGTAATTGGAGGCGGTGTAAACTTTTAGAAGCTTAGAGTCTTCTCCCCCTCCCCCTAATTAAATATTCTTTTGCAAACACTTTTTTATATTTAAGTAATTATTTTTATGAAGCATTATAAAAGCTGAAGTGATGTTCCTGTAAAATTTGCAGTTGACAAAGAAATGTGTTTTTAAAAGGAGGTCACATCTTGATGCTTGAGTTACTTACATAATGCACTGATGAAAAGCAAGTTGCTACCTGCCAGCTAGGAATGACATTAAAATATTATGGCAGCATGTGACCAGCTTTAGAGCTTAAAATCTTGAAAGGACACAGACAATGTCCCCTTTGAAGAAAATTCCTGAAGATCAATTTACAATTTTTGCTAAGCTTTGAAACAGACTAAAATACCCCATGTCCAAGCAGCGAAGATGAAAGTTGTTATTTCTCAGCTGCAACTTTTACATCTGATAAACAACCTCTTAAGTTTGCAGAGGTCTTTCAACATGTCTGTAAGAAGAAAGAGGTTAGCATTTATCCTCTGGAATTGTGTATGAATACTTTAAATCCCATACTACAGGCTTTCAAAAGTTCTCCACATCCCGACTTACTGTGCTGGCTTTGTTATTCCTAATTTCCCTTGGTATTATACAGTGCGAGCTGGCACAACATTGCTCTTGATTTACTAGACTGCAGAGGGCACTCCTATATAAGAAGGAATTGCAACCTCTAGGCTCATTTATTTTTAGTCCCAATCATTCATTGTTATTTTTTCTTCCTTAATAATTACGGACACTATTATTACACTAAGAGGAAATTCTTATTATTCTTGACAGTTGGCTTTGTTGTGATTATTTCATTCCCTCCCCCTCCCCCCCTATACAACTACAATGTCTGTCAATGCACTTATCATACTTCAGGTCAATAGCCTCAGAAATTAGACATATACAGAAGGAATATCTCTAATATAGCTTCCCTAGGCATAACATGACCAAGGAGTGGAAGGAGACATCCTTTGTTACATGTCTGGAAAGTCGAGGAAGTTCTCTCTGAGGCAGGTCATCCATGGAGCAGTATGAAAACCTCTTTCTTGCTTGTTGCATTTCCAGAAAACGTTTGTTGGAAGCATTACCTTTGTGTGGATTTTAGCTGGGATAAATTACTGCAAGGAACAAAGTAGCCTCTCAAGCAATAGATCCTGAATTTTGGGTGAATCTTTGAACCTTGCACTGTTCCTCAGGGACTTGATGAACGGGATGGGGCCAGAGAGCTGCATTTTGCTCAACATAGCAGAAGCATGGGCTGCAGACCATTTGCCAAAAGCAGTGCTACGAACTGGGGACTTTCTGGATAGCAGACAGATGGGATACAGCTTCTGTAATGTAGACACCTGTAGGGCTGTTCCATTAGGCCATTAAAACCTTGAAATGCCTTAAGATTAGGAGGAAGCAAGTGTAGTTTATGGTGACTGTGGTCCCACCCCACCTTTCTGCTTTATGAGTGAATGTCTGTAAGTCCAGCATCTCAGCCACATGGCTGAATGGCTTAAAACCAACAGAATTAATTCTGGAAGTTCAGCTGATGGATGTACAGGTTCTGCATTGCAGTTTAAATATTTTCCTCCAATATTTACCTTTTTTCACTGAGAACAAGTCCATGCTAGCTTTGGCTTCTGCATGGGACACAGCTCATGTATCAACCACAGACAGCAAATGGGACATTCTGTTTTCTGTGGGCAGTGGAAAGTGATCTGCCTTTTCACATTTACTTCTGGAACCTTTCACAAGGGAAGTCTAAGATCAAGCCACTGCTGTGCCAAAGCAGAAGGACAAAGGGACCTGGCTGCTGGAGTAACAAACATACTTCCACATCTTAGCTCTGATTCATGCTTAGTTTCAAATGGAGGACCTCACATTTCAAGTGAGATATTTGCTCAGTAAAATATGTGCATTTTGTATTTCATTACCACATGCTATATATCTCATACAGCGGTTAAGTAATGAAGGAGTGAGGAAAAGGTTGTAATTTGGGGGAGCTGTAACCGTTAAGATTCTATTGAATGGGATTTTCCCCTGTTCTGTATTGTTATCTACTAGATAAAAACATTGTGCTTTATGATTGAGCTAATTGTGCTGGACAAGCCAGTCTGCAGTCCTAGAAGCCTAGATTTTCAATGCGCTGAGCACAGGCAGCTGCAACTAAAGACAGTGGGGGCATTTAAATGTGCAATTAAATGTGAAGTTCTCTAAAAATTCAAACCAGAGGCTGGCTGTAAAGATGCTACCTTGCCTCATGGGTGCTATGAAACCTGTGATGGACCGAAAAGTTACACTGAAAAGACTGTGTAGAGATGAAGTCTTTCTTCAGAGTGGGGTTTGAATATTAAAAAAAAAATGCCTTGAATGAAAGAGAAGAATAAAAAGAAAACAAGCAAGTATAGCTTGCCTATTTGTGGACTGAATGGATGTATCATCTTGTTCCCCCTCACTCTTCCCCCCCCCAGTATGTGCACTTAATATGTATACCACATGGTCTGAATTAATGTTGTGCAAGCGTATCTAATTCTAGCATTCCCCGCTCTTATTTTTTAATATATGTAATATGCATAAAGAATGTGTATTTGAGTAAGAAGTCTTTATAGAATCACTGAATAATTTAGGCTGGAAGAAGTATTGGTGGGTCATATAGTCAAGCCTCTGCTAAAACCAGGGTCAGTGCTGGAGTCAGCACAAGTTTTTCAGGTCTTTGTCCAGTTGGGTCTTGATAATCAAGGTAACATTCATGATGCCTTGAGGCAATTGGTTCCATTGTTTAACTTTGGGAAAGGTCTGGCATTTTGAAGGCAGGTCTTTGTATACAGCTATTTAGCTAAGCTTGTACTGAAGATATATCTAAATGTTGTTAAAATACAGGGTTGGAAAAACAGAAGGAGAAAAGCTGCTTTTAGTCCTACTATACATATGCTACAAATAAATTTGAGTTCTTAAATGTCAGTATTACAAACCTGGGTTTCTGAGAGTTAAAGATAACTGCAATTTCATTTATATTTTTCATATGCTTTGTCTTGTCATGTCAGTCATATTTTGGAATTTGATTGCACTGTTTGGTAAAATTAAGTAGGACCTTATACTGTAAGTGTAACACAGTCTTGAATGTGTAGAACTTAGAAACTGCAATCATCAATTTTCTGAATGCCTTTAGTAGAAGAACACAGCCCAAGTACCTTGGTTTGGATCTGTTTGCTAAGTTTCCCAAGTCACACAATATTTTAATTAACAGCTGAAGAAAACGATCAACATCAAATGGATGAGAACACTCAACATTTAAATAATCTTGAATTTAGCAAGGTTTTCAGTACTGTCTTCTATAACCTACTCATAGGCAAACTGATAAAGTACAGGCTAGATAATGGCCAGTGGTGGGTGGACTCAAAACTGGCTGACTTGCTTGACTTAAGGTACTGGGACCAGTGGTACAAAGCCTGGTTAGAGGCCAGTCACTAGTGGTATACCCAAGGGGTCAGTAGTAGGGATACTTTATTAAATACCTGGATGATAGGACAGACTGTACCCACAGCAAGTTCTCTGAGAGGAGGGGTTGATAGACCACATGGCTGTGATGGCCCTCAGGAGGCACCTTGGGAGGCTGGAGAAATGCGCTAGTAAGAATTTTATGAAGTTCAACAGGAAAGTGCCAAATCCTCCATCCTGGGAGGAATAGTGGCTGGTACCACTACATGCTGTAGTGTAAGTGGCTGGAAGGCAGCATGGCAAAAAAGGCTCTGGGGGTTCTGATGGGTACCAGCTTGACCAAAGCCACCAATGCACCCTTGCAACAAAAGGCCAACAGCGTTCTGGGCTGCATTAGGAAGAGCATTTCTAAAAGGTTGATGGAGGGGATCCTTCCTGCCTACTCAACACAGATGGGACACACCTGGAGAGCTGGATTTAGTTCTGGTTTCCCAGGGTAGAAAAGACGTGGACATACTGGAGTATACCAAGGGCTATGAAGATGATTAAGGGACTAGAGCATCTGGCGTGGGAAGAGAGGCTGGGAGCTGGGACTGTTGAGTCTGAAGAAGAGAAAACTCAGGAGGGATCTCTTTAATGTGTAGAAGTACTGTACGGAAGGGTG